CAACATGTGCCAGTGTTTCACCATCCTGATTGTGAAAAATCTCTTCCTTATGTCTAGTCTGAATCTGCCCTCTTAGTTTAAAACCATTATCCCTCACGCCCTGTCACCACAGGCCCTGCTAAAAAGTTTGTCCCCATCTTTCTTAAAGCCCCCTTTAAGAACTGGAAGGCTGCAATAAGGTGTCCCCCAGAGCCTTCTCTTCTCCAGGCTGAACAACCCCAACCCTCCCAGCCTGTCCTCACAGGGGAGGTGTTCCATCCCTCTTACCATTTTCATGGCCCCTCTCTGGACCCACTCCAACAGGTCTTTCCTGTGCTGAGGGCTCCAGAACTGGACGCAGGCCTCCAGGTGGGGTCTCACCAGAGCAGAGTAGAGGGGCACAATCCCCTCCCTCGACCTGCTGGCCACGCTGCTTTGGATGCAGCCCAGGACAGGGTTGGCCTTCTGGACCAAGAGTGCACATTTCTGGCTCCTGTCCAGCTTTTCATCCACCAGTGCCCCCAAGTCCTTCTTGGCAGGGCTGCTCTCGATCCCTTCATCCCCCAGCTTGTATTGATCTATTGATGTATCTAACATCATATCATTTTACAACACACCCCTAATAAAGTTATAGATGAATGCTGGCTTCACAGCCACAATGAAGCCACTAAAAAAGGATTTCTGATTGCTGGGAAACTGGTGTCATCTGCAAACTTGCTGAGGGTGCACTTGAACCCACTGTCTCTGTCATTGCTGAAGATATTAAAGAGTACTGATCCCAGTACAGACCCCTGAGGGACACAACTCATCACTGATCTCCATCTGCATATTGAGCCATTGACCACTACCCTCTGGATGTGACCATCCAACCAGTTCCTCATCCACCCAACAGTCCAACCGTCAATTCCACGTCTCTCCATGGAAGAGAACATCTCCATGTTGAGAGAAGGATGTTGTAGGGGACTGTGTCAGAGTCCTCACAGAAGTCCAGATAGGTGACATTGGTAGCTCTTCCATTGTCCACTGATGTGGTTACTCCACTATAGAAGGCCACTAGGTTGTTCAGACGGGACTTGCCCTTGGTGAAGCCATGCTGGCTGTCTCGAATCCCCTACCCATCCTCCATGTGCGTTAGCATACATTCTAGGAGGATCTGTGCCATGATTTTCCCAGGAAGTAACTACTTCCCAAGGCTATCAGCTTTAAGAAGCAGACTGCTTTTTCCTCAGACATCTCCCATAATACCCGCAGTGTCTAATGGTTAGGGAGCTCACTCACTAAGACAATTGTTTTAATAAAATTCTTTAATTTTTCCTGTATGAATCCTCTATCCTCTACCTGACTGTTTTATCTGCCTACTGCCCTGACATTATCTTAGATATAAACTCCTTTGGCAATGAATTCTTTCTTACATGTGTGTAGAGCTAGCTCAATACTTCTACTACTAGTACTCAGAAGCTGGCAAAGGGTTTACAGCACAAGGCTTATGAGGAGCGGCTGAGGGAACTGGGGTTGTTTAGCCTGGAGAAGAGGAGGTTGAGGGGAGACCTTATCGCTCTCTGCGACTACCTGACATGGGGTTGTGGTGAGGTGGGTGTTGGTCTCTTCTTTCCAAGAGGAAACGGCTTCAAGTTGCACCAGGAGAGGTTTAGATTGGATATTAGGAAAAATTTCTTCACAAAAAAGGTTGTCAAGCACTGGAACAGGTTGCCCAGTGAAGTGGTTGAGTCACTATCCCTGGAAGTATTTAAAAGACATGTAGATATGGTGCTTGGGGACACAGTTTAGTAGTGGACTTGGCAGTGCTAGGTTAACAGTCGGACCTGATGATCTTAAGGGTTTTTTCCAACCTAAATGATTCTATAACTCTATGATCCTGTGACACTATTTCATTAGAAAAAACAAAACAACCCACACAAGAAAATGTGTTACTTAGGTAAAGCACATCTTAAGTCACAGGCATAAATGTTGTTAGATGAAAGTTTCACAGTGCTGGAGCATAAGACGTTATTTAAAATACAGTTTAGAATTGCAAAACCTTCTGTAACTTTCCTCATGCAATTTTTAATTGCCAACTTCCAAAGAAAATCATGCACTTGACAAGCTTTAGTAATATTGTTTGTTTGCTCTGGAGCAGAGCAGAATGTGATATTCAATAACTATTTATAAATGAATGATGCATTCTGGATTATTCTTAAATATGAAATGGTCAAGTTTTAACCAAACAGCACAGTAAAAATAGAATTTATTTGTATTGCATTATGTATGATTCTTTCAGCCTTAAGGACTCTAGATTGTGCTATACAAAGTAAGTTGATATGATTTTGTGGTCGAAAGAACATCATTCATATGTTCTTGTTATGAATCAATTGCTCACATCTTCATTCTATGAATTGAATAATCCCCAAAGCCTATATATTTAAAAAAATTAAAACCTAGATGCTACCATAAATTTCGCACTTCAGTAGAAATAAACTTTGAATTTCTGTTTTACAAAATATCACTGTGCTTAGCCCTGGAAGAGTATACATGCTCGCTTAACTTTAAAACTGTAAACATAACTTTGGTTTAATTTTAAGCAAAGGATCTGTCATGTTACCTCACTGTATTAATAAGATTATACTCAGTTCAGATTTCTTCTATAAAGTTACAAAGGCCACAAGATAAGAAAAAGCATTTATGCAGTCTTAACTTTAAGTAATAGTTATGTAATCAAAAAGATTATTGTTGTATTTCATTTAAACATATCTATGTTTGCAGATTCTCTACTTCAACAGTACGGAGAAATCGTGACCACTACAGGCATTGCAATACTTTGGTAAGTGAAAATGGACTAGCATGCAAATGTCTACTTTTGTCATCCCTTACATATTTCTAATAGTTTGCTTTCAAACATTTGTTCTGTAGATCTCTTAAGAAAGGAGAAAATCTACCTTTGCTTTACATGTGCATAAATGATAAGAAAAGTCACCTTCAAGTGAGAAAAGTTCGATTTAGTGGCATTGGAAAAATGGAAATCTGTTCCTGTTTCTACTTGAAAAGTAGCACAGACACATTTCAGCTAATATGCTCTCTCTAACAGTTCCCAATAACAGTTACATATTTTATTTTTCAGAAACGTCTCAAAGTTTTTTGTTATATTTAGAAAAAATGTTTTCAGAGAAGTTTGAAGGGTATCTGTTCTAAGGCAGGACACTTCACACATGTGAGGAAAAGCAGTTTATAACTTACAGACAAATTAATGCTGATATTAGTATGTTGATTAATACTTTAAAAATTGCTGCACAATAGGAAGCAGTGCCAAGTAAGAAAAAAACAAAATAAATTATTATATCAAGGAATGTCCATAGTTTTTAGCGCTGTATTGCAAGACAAGGCATGAACGGGATTACAAAAAGTAATGCCACAGTCTCAGAAGCTGTCTGTGGTATATCATGACTGCAGACACTTGCCAGCTAAGGGCTGGCTGGAGGCAATGGCTTTACTTGGCTTAGGATCCTGACAAGTCATGAGGCAGCAGTTTGTTCCAGCTGCTGTCAGCCTAGGTTTGGATTGACCCAGCAGCCGGAGTTTGACACTTAATCAAAGTCTGGAAACTGGACTGGTAAAAGAGCTGAGTGCTCAACAGATTCCAGTGGAAATCTCCATTGGAGAATGGAGAATTGGAGAAATTGAGAATGTCCTCAATTTCTGAAAACCTGGTCTCAGCTCATCTGACACACTGTCCCCACCTAGCTTTCATCCTATTTAGGGAATTAAGGGAAAAGATGAGTCTTTTATTCTCTCTCAGTTTTGCACATTACACTGAGTAGTGCCAGTACATAATTTCTTAAATCTCAACATTTCTCACTATCCAACTCCCTCTTAAAGTACAGTATAAAATAAGCAACTGTAATCAACACCACGTCACTAGAGGTTCCCTGGCTAAAATCAGATCTTTAAAATCTGAAATGTCCTTTAGCTTTCAAATAACAGTTGTCACATTCAGCCTATAATCAGACTAAGGCATACAGAAGTTAACATAGCATACAAGTAATACCAACTATTTTATGAATTTGGATACAGTCAATCACAGCTTTAAATTCCCTTATTTTTGTCATATAAACCTACAACATCACTAACTAGTGTGTAGCTTCCAACAGCCTTGACAAAAACATATCACAGAATTGATAGGTTTACAAGCCTCTCAGTAAAATAAAACCACTTACTGAAGTGGCCACTTCATATAATGTAATTTTCAGCACTGCACATAACATTCAGCCAATTCTTTCACTTCCTACATCTGCTTCTCAATTAAAAGTTGAACTGCTCGAAGATGTAATTCTGCCTGAAAGTTAAAAACATATGTCTATACAAATACTGAAGTACTGCATTAAAAAATGTTAACATCCTTCCCATCATTGTCTTGAGATTTGAGATGCATTATCACTCATAACTTATCAAATGTTTCAAATTTAGCTGAAATGTGAACAATTGTACATTTAGCCAGGTATGACAGAGTTAGGTATTTTAGTATGAAAACCTCAGATACTTAACTGAAACAGTAAAATAGGATTATCACATTTATAGCATAAACGTGTTTATTGGCGTGTTTATAGTCATAATATGAGAGATCATAATGGAGCATTTAAATTCATTAATGTAGATCTGTTGGAAAACTGATATGTGATCCATGAATAAGGAAGAGGAAAAATACTCCTTTGATTTTAAATTAAGCTTAATGAATTCAAGATGTCTACAAGGAATGGTAGAAGTGAATTGCTAACAGAAGTCAGATGCTTACAGAGCAAAAATATTGTTCTTTATTGCAGCAGGTCTTTTCATGGATAGAATACAATTTGTCCTGCCTCCCTTCAAAAAAGGTGTAAAAATGTGTTCAAAATCTATCTTGTTATATTACTTTGCAGATTCTGTCCTCATGAGATAGATATGGATTTTAGAGTACCTCCTTCTCTGCAAAATCATCCCTAATCTTAAGTGAGCAATAATATAGCAGGCTGTTTATCTGCCTTTTTCTATACCTGGGTAAATATCGTGAGCGGGCCCTGGGGAATGTCCCATGGTATTATCTGCAGCATCATGCGGTGACGGGGCTGGCTGGAGGGGCTGAATCGCAAGGCAGTCATTCAGGATGTCCTGGCCAAGCTCTGAGCTCGATCGCAACTGAAACACAAGAGATAAAAAAGGAGAAATGATTATAACATGGACAAAAAAAGAGGAAATAAATCATAAAAATCCTTAAGACACTGAAAAATTACAATGAAGAAATGCTGAGGGGTTAGAGAAAGAAATGGAGAACAAGCAGAAGTCTTCTCCTTTAAGTCCTGGTTAATATCTTTTCTGTGTTATATCAGCAGAGGGATACTATAAAAAAATACAAATATTTTCCAGCTGGTTTAGTGCCCTGAACTGTCTCACTGAAGGACCAGAAAAGCAGAGGTGCTTGTGGCCGTGGACACGAGGGACTGGGAGCAAGGAGGCAGGAGTGGACCAAAGTTGTCTCAAGACCACACAGTTAAAGTGACTAGGACTGCTTTTGTTTCACATTATGGCTGAACTGATCTGAAAGTGAGTGCTCTGCCACTGCCACTAATCCCGGCTGCATGCATGGCCTCTTCACTGGTACCTGATCCATCAACAGCAAGGCTGTTTATCTGGCTGATCCAGCAGAAAATTCACTCTGCAAACAATTAATACACAAATTCATAAGAAGAGTTTTGCTTTGGATGAAACTGGATGAACAGTCTCACCCTGAGGCTACAATACAATACCACAAAAAATACAATTTTAAAAAAAAAAAATTCCCCAAACCAAAATAAGGAAAAGGGAGGAAGCCTGCTGCAGCATCCTGCCACCAGGCTGTCCTAGCTGTAATGCAAAACTGCACCCTGACGTTTCTGGTGCTGCTGCAGGCTGCTGGGACTGATGCCCGTCCCAACCCTTGGCCTGATGTTACTGTCACATGGAACAAAAATTTGCCTGTTCTTATGGCCATCTCGGCTCCCAGGCTGGTGTGTTCATTTAAATGCATGAAAATGGAGGGTCTGTGCTTATAGGCATGTGGGCCTCTGCCGCGGCTGAGATGCAGATAAATATCCCCTCCTGTCACCCATGCTGATGAAGAGACAGTTCGTGCAGCATGATGGACGAAACCTGACCTAGTGCAGTGGAATTTGCTGCGCTCATGCATCAGAGTCCCAAGAAGCAAATCTCATCTCTGTTTGGTGCCTTGGAAGGTGAGCAGGTAACAGTAACTAGAACATAACACAGCACCTCTAACAAACTCCTACGGGGAGGAAGAGCAACCACAGGAGACATTTCTGTCCATCCTATACTCAGAAATGAAGAAAAAAAGAGTAAGAAGGAATAATTCCGAATGCAACTGTAGAAAGACCCATTACTGTGTGAAAGGATGCTGATAATAATTCAAATGACTTGATGGTATGCATTAGTATAAAACCATTGCAAAAGAGAGGAGTTGGTCTTGCACATCATAAGCACCTGAGGTAGGGTGACTGTAATAACAGGTACTGCGCAGCCTACGAGACCTACGCAGACTGTGCATGCTGTACATTATTCCTTCTTTTAAAAATTTAGTGCGTTGTTATTAAGCCCAAAGGTACACTACCTTTGTGAGGTATATTTGTTACTCTAGAACTTGTTATTCTAGAATTCTACAGAGAGAGAGGGAAGGAGGGGACAGTGAAAGAGGGAGAAAAGGCAGAAAGGGCACGAGAAAGGAAGACATACCCTGACAAATGCTTTTCATTTATTATCTGTGTTTACACTCTGTTGTAAGTCCAAATGCTTCTTTCAGTGTAGCACGTACGGTTGTCTGCTATTATCCACCAATTACTCTTTTTACTGCTATCACTAGTTAACATGGCTTTTTCATGAAATGAAGTGCATGTGAAATTAAATGCCAGATACATCCAGATTCAAATTCTTATCAGTTGCATTATAAATGAGTATTATCTGACTTTAAATTTCTATGGAATCTAATATGAAAATAAATATGAAAAAAATACGACTTCTATAAACAAATCAGGAATCTATCACACAGAGTACAGATTTACAGAGGTCAGCTGTGTAAATTTTTTGCGAGTAACAAACTGATCAATTTTCTATGATCAGAGAGCACTCATATGGATGAAACTGTGAGCAGAAGAATGAAATGAGAGCTAAGTATTTACACATTAGTTGCAAGTATTAAATAACAACAACAGCCTATTTTACACATTTTTCTATTTGGCACTCTTCAGGAGTGGAAATCCTTTGCATTTGCAAATCCCTTGATAGTGAGAACAAATCTATCATGACAACCTGTGCTGACATAAATTTTCTGGCTTGCCCACTAGTCAATGCTTATAAAAACAAATAAAACCCGGATCAACAACAGAAAACTAAAAACAGTGACACAAACACTGGGATTCAGTTGTGATCTGATTTCTGAAGATAGTTCTTACTTAATCCATGCACTGATTATTACTGATTCATATGTACAGCCACAAGGGCTAGAAATACAGATTTTATAAACTTACATACACAGGAACATAGATGTATCGTATATTATAATGTGTAATTTTAGAATGACAGTATATGTATTTAACATACATATAATGAAATATCCTGAGCAAGATGTGGGTATTACACTGATTTGTGCAACTACGGACACACACTGCTAACTCAAATTGCCACTAAAAATACTACCATGGGCCTTCTATAAACCCTCACCTTATCATAGATGCTGGGAATAACTTCACTCTCCCTTACTGCAGGGTATGTATATGAGTTGCTCTTTGAGAGCAATTACTGTTGCACCATTGGAAAGGGTAGGTAGGGAGCAAGGGGTAGAGCATCCCTTTTCTACTGCTTAGCAGCGCACGACCAGAAATGGGCAAGCTTCCTTTAGCAGAACCAGCCATCAAATCACAGCTGCCTCCCAAACTAGACACAGCTGCTGGAAAACTCCATTCCCCACCATTACTGTTTACTCTTGAGAGAGACAGTAACCATGCTTTGGTTGCTGGGTCCTCCTTCCTTTGCCATCTAAAGCTCATCCTCTGTGCAATGTTTTTCCAGATTTTTCCTCTGTACCATTAATACAGATGGCATAAGCTGTGGCCTTTTTGGAACAAAACAGACTGCAAAAAACAGACTCTGGTTCAAATATAGCTGGTCAAGGCATTGTTTTTTCCTGTGAAGACATTCAGGGTAAAAAACTGCTCTATCTCTGTCAAATACTTTTGCATATTTTATAGAAAACTTTTAATAAATTTTTTTTACTGAAACCAGTGTTTTGCATTTTGTGAAGAGCAGGAAAATCTGAGTTACGATTTTTCTATAGTATGTGAAGAAACACAGAACAGACAATGAAAAGACAGATATCTTAAAAACAACCAAATAAACCAGCCATTGATTGCACCCATAAAATTTCATCTTCTGTTAAAAAAAAAAAAGCTATAAAGGAGAAATAATAACTGACCAGATCTAACGGCTGAAGTCTGTTTTTTGCTTTGCTCTAAAGACAACACATTTCTTTTCCAGCCTAGACTGTAGGCTTATCAACCAGCTGTAAAAGACAGTTGACACTCTTTTTGACTTATGTATAAGTCATATCCGAGCACAAATCTCCCAGCATTCTGGCTGCAATACCTTGCTTCCCCCGTGATCACCTTGCTTCCCTCATGATCACTCAGCTGAGCACCAGTACAATCACACTGGGACTGAAAACTTCTCAATTTATTTTTGAGAACTGTAAGGTTAGAAAGTTATCTTGCTGAATGATGAAGTCAGTAACTGACAATTTTGCCATGCTGAGCACAGACATTTTCTGTGTGCTGTAATGTCGCCTAAATTTATGGCTGACCAAGATGCAAGTCAACAATCAACTGCTCAGCTCACTTATAACTTCCCTGTATTAAATATTTGTTCTAAATAATAGTTATTCAATTTTAATAGCTCAGTTGTATGGTAGACTTGTGAAGTTTTGTATTTGGAAATCTGAGACATTCCCATTATCACAATGTGACAGTTTTTTCTAATATACAAAACAAATCACTGTCAGTCATGATTTACAATCGTTTTACTCCTGTGACAATCAACTAATGTTTATCAGCTTTCAGAACAATGGATGGAAATTCTACTCCTGTACATTTTAGATATGATTAAATAATTACCCAAGATTAAATGATACAAGCAGAATTAATTAGAAGGGAGTGAGATTCTACATTCTTCAATTTTCAATTTCATTATATTTGAGTCCAAGAGCAGAGATGTGCTGTTGATTTGATGTGTAACATAATTCCAGAGAAAATGTCTCCTTAAAAGAAAAGATAATTTGTTTTGTATTTCTTTAAACAATGTGAGTTTTATCTGAGAGCTGCATGTTTTTGTATGACCTGGCTAGTTTCAGCATTATTCCTGTTCAATAGAAATCAGACATCATCAAGGAAAACATAAGAAATCTGTGTTTATGATTACACATAGTCAGAAGAGAAGTAGTTTAGGATTTCTCAAACAGTATTAGTTTGTTTCCAAACCACACAAAATAGGGTGTCAGTAACTTCAAAACCTGCCTATATGTGTACTCAGATTAACTTCAGTAATTCTTCAGCAAAGTCCGGACTCCTCCAGTTATTCAAACTTGCCAGTTACCACATTAAATCACAGCATTTTAAATATTGCTTTCATGAAAGCAGGCTTAATGAACTCTATGTATGCTGTGCACCTAGTAGAGTGTTTCCATATGTAAGGGAGACATTGGTTATAGTCTATTTATTTTGATGCAGATTAGATCTGTGACTGCCATGTCTAAAACCAGCAAAAAACACCTGAATACTGCTGTGTTTCATTGAGAGGAATTGCTTTACACTAACTGTAATAGCTTTATAAATGTGTTTTTGTTTTCATTATAAAGCTCTGGAGGAATTTCTGTTATTCACAAAGTCTGTGTATTAAGTTTACTAAGAGCTATTTGTCAACTAGAGAATAATCCAGTAGTCTTCCACTTGTTTTCATTGTCTGTAAGTCAAGTTGGCATTGGGAGAGGGAAGCATGACCTACCTTCATAAAGCTACATATTGTACTAGTTTTTCTGAAGGAGTAGCCAGAATTTAGTATTTGCTTGTACACTTAGAGTAAAATTATACCCTGTTAGCATC